TGGAGGTGAGATGCTAATGATAAATGCTAGCATTTTTCTGATGTTAGCATTTGCCTCAGATTCGACATTTATTTTGGATATTTTTCTTCCATTTATAGTTAAAGCAACATAAACCTCCGACACTGCCTCAGATGTATGCATTAGCATCATCAGTTTTAATGCTAATCAGTTCAAGTGTCAAAGCAGAGTGGAGATGCTAACGTTAAATGCTAACCTGTGAAAAGCTGCTACTGCCACAGATTCTACATTTATTTTGATATCCGGATCCTTTTCTTCTGTTTTAAAGCAACATTCAGGTCCTAGCATAGTCTGCTTTCATGCTAATACTCATCAACAAATGTGGGACTGAGATGCTAATGTAAAATGCTAATGTTAGCATTTTCCATTAGCCTCAGATTCTACATTTATTTTGGATATTTTTCTTCCATTTATAGTCAAAGCAACATAAACCCCCCGACAGTGCCTCAGACTTAGGCATTAGCATCATCAGTTTTAATGCTAATCAATTAAAGTGTCAAAGCAGAGTGGAGATGCTAATGTAAAATGCTAACCTGTAGAAACCTGCCATCGTCACAGAGGCTAGCTACATATATTTTGATGCTGTGATAGTTTTATATTATTTTTAGGTTCACAATAACATAATCTGTTTAAATGCTAAGTGGATTTAATGCATGCTAACAAGAGTCTTAAAAAAGTCAAAGCGGAGTCGAGATGCTAATATGAAATGCTAACCTGTAGAAACCGCTACTGCCACAGACATTCTGCACAAAAAATCCAAACTGAGATGCTAATATGTAGAACAGGATTATTGTTACGCTATCAGCTACAATTTTATGATAATAAAATATTTTTTTTTTAATCTTCTGCTTTGTTTTAAATCCAGGTGTAGCGCCAACAGTTGTGAAACTCGTTTTACTTTGTGAGTCACCAAGATATGTGAAAGAGGCCTTCAGAAGATGAGCTCGTGCTCCGTGTCACCTCATAGTAATTATGTGTCTCGTATTGATTAACATAAACCCTTAACCCAGCCGGAATGAACGATGTCGGCATCTCTGGTTAGAGGTTTTAAGCTGCGTGGAGCCGTTTAGCGCTGCAAAGCTACAAACAATGCAGCCGGCTGTGTCAGTGGCAGAACAAAGCTAAGGCGAGTTAGCGGCGCTAGCTCATTAGCTGCGGGCTTAGCGGGGGCTTTGTGCGGTGGAGGGGGAACATGGCGATAAATCCCGGTTTAGGTGGGAGCCGTGGCACCTCCCTGTGTCAGCTTACACCTCCTCTATCTGCAACAATGCTCAGCCCATTAACGGTGACAGCAGCTCTTCAGCAGCACATGCTGCAGCTCAGGACGCTTTTACTTCAAGTGTTGGGAACCGTCCTGGTACCGACCGGACCACAAAACCTGGCTCATAGTCTGGGCTGCTTCTTGTAAATTGAGGCCATATTCTGGAGGGTTTAGGCTGTAATTTGTGTCGGAAATCATGAATCTCACCTTAATTAACCATTAAAAGCACATGATTGGACGCAGCGTGACCCACATTTACAGAAGATACCGTTAACTCCAAAAACCTCCTCATTACTGCCCGAGACTGACGACAATTTTAGGTTCTTATAAATAATTTCATGGATTGCTGTGATAATCAATAAACTAATTGCCCCTCAGTAGCGCTCCTCACTGCTGCAGAACTTGTTTGAGAAAAACCACGTTTTTAAGTTTTCATGAGTATTGAAGGACTTCGGTGACGGCTGTCGGTACGTTAAGTGGCTCGTAGCAAACAGGAGGTGCTGAGAGGGAATTCGGCACATTTAGTTCTCAGAAATATTCACAAATATGAGCTGAAAATGAGATCCAGACAAGTTCTGCAGTCATAAGGAAGAACCAGTTTTTTTTTTATCATGTTTGTTTTGGAAAACTGAGAAAGCCGAATCCGCCATTAGCGCCCCCTGTTTGCTGTGCATCCTCTGATTTACTGACATTTACCCGTAAATTACGCTGACCGTGAAGAAAACTTTAAATCGGGATTATTCTCAGGCAAGTTCTGCAGCAATGTAAGAGTGTTCTAGTGAGCTGCTGCCTACCAATAATGACGCCTTAAAGTTTTCTTGAGTGTGACAATAAATAAGAAGGAGGTCATATAATGGCTAATTTAGCGTATTTAATGTCCTGAATGTAAACAAATCAAACTGGGCTTGTAGCCAACAGTGATGCTCCTCACGGCTGCAGAACTTGCTTTAGAAACATCCAGGTTTTAGGTTTTCTTCGGTGTCAGAGTTATTTGTGGGTAGCTATCGGTGCAGCAGTGAGCACAAAGCAAACGGGGGACGCTAGCAGTGAATTCGGCTCCCAAAATTTACACAAATGAAGGAGTTAAGGAGTCATAAAGAGCGTTCATAGGTTGGCAGCAGCAGCAGCAGCAGCAGCAGCACACTTTGGTTCCTTGATTCAAACGGAGCCACAGTGATGTTGGAGACGCTCTCCTCCGTCCTGTTTTCCTCTCATCCTCCTCACCTCCATCCTCGGCTGCCTCCTAATTAGTCTTACCAACCCTCTAAGCTCTTAATCTCCCCCTCGCTCTGCCTCCATCCCCCCTCTGTTTTTCCTCCTCATCCCTCCATCCTCCCTCCCTCCGTCCAGAAATACATCCGCCAGCTCTGCAGCCTGTTGCATTCCCTTATCCGTCCATCTTTCCTCCCATCATGTATTTTCCCGTCAGATTTCTCCCCCCCTGAGCTCGCCCTCCCTCGGCCTCACCTCAGCTCGCCTCCTCTAACAGCAGCAGATTATCGTCTTTGTGCCGCCCAGCTAAGCCTCCGTTTCCACCGCACGCCGCCGCCGCCTTTTTGTTTCTTCTTCTCCTTTTGTTTCTTCATACGTTCATTTTTTCTTGCTCATGTTTCACTGCGACATAAAGTCCTGCAGCTCTGTGGAAACAGAACAACATGAAGAAGGAGCTCTTTGACACATGAATGGAATAAAAAAAGCTGAATTTCTTTTATTATTTATGTCACACAGATTCAAAAAGTTGGAATCCACGTGTCCACCGTTTTCTAAATGCCCCAAGTGTCACCAACACTGGGGGAGAAATGGTAGCTCTGATGGTTGTTGGAGTGTCTTCATGGATGCGACTAATTTTGCAGAATTTTATTTATTTATTTGGTTAAAATCAACAGCTTGTAATTAGCTTTTGATTGTTAAACACTGCCTGCAGTTCAACCGAATATTTGCTGAATTTTTACACGGTGCCTGTTGGTCGCAGCCGAGTCGCCGAAGGCTTCATGGATCCGGCAGAGAGGGCAGAATTTTTAGTTTTTTACTAAATCCAGTTTGAGTGAACCGTTTATTTTTTGGCTAATTTTAAACTTAGACATAGAGAAAAGGGGTTTTGATCAAATAAAAATCACACCTTTTGGCCCGAGACGCTTCCTTCTGCTTGTCTTAAACGCTGCCTGAGCTTTTACCACGTCACCCTTTGTTCCTGCTGAGTCAAGCACGCAGAACTTGTGGAGGTTTTGTTAGAACCTGGTTGGAGTTAATGGTATATTTTGGTGACTCTTTAAACGAGACAGAGAATAAAGTGATTGTGATGAACTGTTGTGATTTTAAGCTCTCGTTCTCCACTCTGCTCTGTGTAAAACAAAAATTTGCAGATTTTTTACTAAATGCCTGCTGGTTGTAGCCGGGCCAATGAAGGCTTCATGGATCCGGCAGAAAGAGCAGAATTTTTTGTTTTTTACTAAATCCAGTTTGAGTGAACCGTTTATTTTCTGGCTAATTTTAAAACTAAGACATTAACAGAGAGTGTTGGAAGAATATAAACACTGCCTGAAGTTCAGCCGAGAAGTCGCAGATTTTTTACTAAATGACTGTCGGTCGCAGTGGAGACAACGAAGGCTCACCGGTTGTGTCGAGATGTGTGGAATTTTATTGTTTTTACAAAATCGAGTTAATATGAACACTTAATTTTATTTTCATTTTTTTTAGGTAATTTTGATGAAATCTCCTGAACACAGATGAGTAGTTCGAGGACTGTGGGAAAATTGAAAACCCGATGATTCTTTGTGTTTCTTGCTTTGGTAAATGGTGTCTTTTTGGTGATTATTTAAACACTTCAGAGTGTGGTAAATCTGGTCAGTCGTCCTGAAATAGTTAATAAACGGTGCTAAACTCAGTCTAGAATGAGTCCTGTCCCCTCCGTAGAGGCTAAATCGCTCCTGAATGCGGCACCGCGGCGGCTGGAAACAGGAGCGTCTCCTCGTTATCTGCCGCTGGCCTACATTCTGCAGATACCTGGTATCTGTGTTTCCCATGATGCAGCGCTCCGGGTCCAGGTTGTGTTATCAGCCGACGCTGATTGTATCATCACGTTGACCTGTGTACTTTCAGACCCGCTTTGTGCGTAACGCTGGACCTGAACCGGCCCGAGTCCGCCCGAGTCGTCGTCTTCGTTTATCGATGTTTACGACAAACACAATGTGTGTCCATGTGAACTTTGTGGGCAAATGTTTGGGATGTTTTTTTTTTGTTTGTTTTGTCGTAAATGTTTGTTTTTCTTGTGCAAACGTTTGTGTTTTTGTGGACTGATGCGGTTGTTGTTTGTGTATTTGTGAGTCTGTTCTTGTTTGTTTTGTGAACGTGTTCCTTGTTTGTGTTTACTTGTTTGCTCGTTTCATATAAACACATTTGTTTTGTTTTGTGTTTTCTTTGTTGTCTTGTTGTTCAGTCTGTGTGTGAATTTGCTGCAACAGTGTTTGTTGTTGTGTATGTTTTTGTTTATGTTGTTGTTGTTTTGTTTAGTTGTGGGTAAATGTGTTTCATTTGTTGTTTGTGAGTGTTTGTGTCAGTTTGTTCTTTAAATCAGTGAATGTGTATTTTGTGACCGTTTCTTGTGTAACAGCGTCTGTTTGTTTGTTTGTTTGTTGTTGTTGTTGTTGTTGTTGTTGTTGTTGTTTACACCTGTGTGTGTGTGTGTGTTACTGACTGTCTCTCTGTGCTCTCCCCCCTGCAGTGTGAGCAGTGGTTGCAGACACACACACAACAAACCCCGCCCCCTCCCATCCGCCCCGAGACTCGAGCCGATCGATCGATCGTTGCTTTCCGATCAGGACGGTAAATATGCTCCTCCTCCTCCTCCTCCTCCTCCTCCTCCTCCTCCTCCTTCATCCCTCCGCCTCCTCCTGTCTCTCCTCCTCATCCTCCTCATTCCTCCTTGAACATTTCCGCCCGCCTCCCGAGTCGGAGTCGCGCCTGCATCACCTTCCTGGCTCCGCCTCCTCTGTCATGTGACCACCTGTGCGCTCGCTGCCCGTCTCTTGGAGTTTGGTTGCCGTCGGGTGTTTGCTGTTTCTCACTTTTGGCTCTGTCTACTTCCTGAAGCTGCCCTCTGAAGCTCCTCCTCCTCGCTCCCTGCAGTCCGTCTCCTCTGTTCTTCGAGCCTCCTCTGCTTCAGCTTGCATGGCGTCTGGTCGTCTTCGGCTCGGCAGCTTCGTCTGTCCGACCTGTTTGAAGGATGTTGTAGCTGCGGGGTTGAGACATGGATCAGCCTGAGCGGCCGTTTCACGCAAAGTTTAGTTTATAAAGTTTAGTTTAACCGTCTGGACCCCGACGGGCAGTTTGTTCGTGTCACTTGTTGTGCAGAAGATTGGATTTTTAGTGTTTAGTAATTGAGTTTAATTTAGTTTTTACGTTGGTGTTAGTAGCTGACGGAGCGAGCTAGCATCCTTTCATGTCCAATAAATGCTAAATATTAGCTCGTATTATTAAATGCTTGGTGGAAAAAACAGCACAACAGTAGCTTAGCATTCCTCTAACCAGCTGCTTTTATGTTATTTGTACCGCAAAATTGGGTAGAGATGCTATGCTAGGCTAGCTCCCAGACTGTAGCAAGTAGTAAGGCTCTCCGCCTTTGTGGGGCTGTAAATGATGCTAGCTCAGTGTGCTAACACTCTTTAGCTTATGGGTGTAGCATTAAGAAAATTAATGGAGAAGATAAGCTTTTAGTTTGTTATTGAGTTTAATTTAGTTTTTATGCTTTAGTTGGTTTTAGTAGCCGACGCAGTGAACTAGCATCCTTTCATGTTCATATATATGCTGCTAGCAAACACTTAATATGGTCCTGTATGATGAGACTCTCTGCCTTTGTGGGGCTGTAAATGATGCTAGCTCAGTGTGCTAACGCTCTTTAGCTTGTGGGTGTAGCAGTTTGTGGTGAAGCAGCAGGAAAACTAGTTTTTTATTAGCTGAGTTTAATTTAGTTTTCATGCTTACGTTGGTGTTAGTAGCTGACATAGCGAACTAGCATCCTTTCATGTTCATATATAGACTGTTAACAAATGCTAAATATGGTCCTGTATGATGAGTATGAAATGCTTGGTCTAAAAATTAGCTCAGGAGTGGCTTAGCATTCCGCTAGCCAGTTACTTATTGTGTCCTTTTGTGTTATTTTAAGTTTTTAGCACGAGAGAGAAAGGAATAGAGATGCTAAGCTAGGCTAGCTCTCAGGCTGTACTAAGGCTCTTTGCCGTTGTGGGGCTGTAAATGATGCTAGCTCAGTGTGCTAACGGCCTTTAGCTTTTTGGTGTTTGTTAAGTGAGTTTGAGTTAATATGCTGTGCTAAGTAGCTAACTAGCATCCTTTCATATACATATAGATATTGCTAACGAGCACCATGTGATGATTATGAAGTACCTGGTTCAAAATGTAGCACACGAGTAGCTTAGCATTCCACTGGCCAGTTGCTTTTCAGTTATGTGGACTTTGTAGCATTACATAAATAAGTAGAGATGCTAAGCTAGGCTAGGCTAGCTCCCAGGCTGTAGTAAGGCTCTCTGCCACTGTGGGGCTTTAAATGATGCAGTAAATAAATATTTATTATACATGAGCACAAGAAAATAGCAGAAGGTTACAATCTGCACTGATTAAAAAAAAAAACACACAAAACAAATAAATGCAAAAAAAATTAAAACTTTTGAAACGTACTTTACCACAAAGTCGCTTCAATTTTCAGCCATAAAAACAACAAACATTATCTTATTTATTCTTCTAAAAGTCTTAAAGCTGATGAAAGGTGTTTTTTTTTGCTGTTTAAATCGTACTGATCATAAAACTCAAAGATGCTAAAGTTTGTTTTTTACAGGATGCACATGAACGCATCGGCTGCATGTTTTGGGTTTTTGATGCTCGCAGCAGATTTTCATGCAGAACTTTGTGTTTGGTAAGATGGGCGGTTCACACACACACACACACACACATTCATCCTGTGTGTGTGTGTGTGTGTGAGTGTAGGAATCTGCGTGCTGATTGGCCGAGAGCCGGCAGACATTTTCCACAGTGGGGCTGCTCTCCGATTGGCTGAGACGCTCCCCTCCCCCCGCTCTGGTATGTTGTACAGTGGAGCGATGATATCTCGACACTTTATCGCGGCGGGTCTAAACTCCACACAAACACAACCAACGGCGGTCAATGTGTAACCGAGGAAACGCAGCGAGGTGATGCAAGACGGCAGGAGGAGGAGGAGGAGGAGGAGGAGGAGAGAGGATGAAGAGCGGGAGGTAGAAACAGTTTGGAGAAAAAGATGGAGGAGGAAAAAAAGGGAGGGAAGGAGGAAAAGATGGAGAGGGTGGTTAAAAGTATGTGGACGGCAAAAGTAAATGAAACGGACAGAAAGTACAGAGGAGGAGAGAAGCAGTAGTGGCCAAAAGTATGTGGACGCCCCGTCACAACTCAGACAGAAGCTAATCATGAAAACCAGCTGATTAACGACAGGAGAGGAGGAGCAGGAGGAGGACTTCACCAGAAGTGTGCAGACATCCTGTTCCTACGTAGATGTTTTAACAACAACTAATATCCCAAAACACAGAAACAACATTCTTTATTTTGCCGTATGAGGAAAATGTCTTCTCAAGATGTTGATGGAAACGAGATATGAGCAAAAGTATGCGGACGCTCGTGGCATGACGGAAACAAAAGATTACTTTTTAAAAAACAGGCAGTCAACAACAACAACAACAACAACAAAGCTACAGGAGAGGAGAGGTGGGCCGTGTGGCCAAAAGTATGTGGACACCCCATCCACAACTAAAGAACTAAAAACACATGAAAACTAACTAACAGATTCATTTCCAAGTAGCCGGGAGAAAGAAATGGACGGAAACGAGATCCGAGCTAAAGTATGTGGACGCCCCGGCTGTCGCGTAGTCAGTGGTGTTTATGAACATGCACCAAAGCTCACTTCAGGATGGATTTTTAAAATAAAAAATGCATGAAAACACACTAAATTGGGTATTTGTACGTATGAAGAACGTGTGTGTTTGTTAAGCAGCTAATTAACAACAACAGGAGAGCAAGAAGTGAACCAGACGCCTGTACGGCTGAATTAAACGGACGCCTCGCTACACGTCTGTTTGTTAAAACTAAGAAATCGATCCCGTAAAGACGTGAATGCTGCTGAAGTAAAACCCGGTCATCAGCAGTGATCCTGCGGTCGGAGCTGCTCGTCGGGACGTTGGTGAATGAAGATGATGGAAACAAACCACGAATCAGCAATAATTCACAAAAACAGTAAGTTAGCAGAAGTATGTGGACGTCCATGTTGATAAAATGGTCAAAATGTGAGTTTTTGCACTGGAGAGCAGCCCAAACACAAACTCTTGTCGCTGACTTTCGGTGTGTTTGTGCACAAAACAAGCAGCAGAGAAGTGATCCTCCTGCACAATCCTCATCACACGTCCCCGCAGCGTCCACATACTTCTGGCCGCTGGGCGAGCAGACACTCTGCAGCGGGATGTTTAGTTTCGTAAGTGCGTGCTAACAAGTTTGGGCAAAGTCCTGCTGCGAGGAAGCAGCGACGTCAGGGCTGGAGCGGCGGTGGAGGATGGGTAATGGCAGCCCAGTGCTAGATGGTGGTTTGGGTGGGTGAGGAGGCGGGGGTGGAGGGGGGAGGGTCCATCAATCTCTCTCGCACATGGGGAAGCAGCGAAGCACTCTCTGGTGACTCTCGTGAGCTTCCTGTTGTGGTCGAGAGACTGCGAGGCAGGCTGAGATAAAGAGAGAGAGATTCTTTCAGTTTCTGCTGCAGCAGCGTGAAGCTGTTCAGCGCCGGCATCACTTCACTCCGTCCCGACGGCGGCGGCGGCGGCGGAAACTATCCCGGCTCTCCAACATGTTTTCTGCAGCTTTCTGTTTCTGTCACATGTGTGCAAAAACATCATGAGGTGCTAATTTCAGCGTTTAAAACACAACGTCGGCCATCTTTGCTTTACTCTGCAAGCTGGAGGTTAACACGGCGAAGCAAAGTGTAGGTTCCACCGTCATCAAAGTACTGCATGAAGGAATGTATAGAAACAAAATATATAGAAAACAATAAAAATACAGAATCCCCACAGTTATATAAATATGTTACAAAATAAATCCGTGCTGCTGATGTTGAACAGCATTTACACACTTATAATGATGTATTTAGAGGAACAAAAAGCAGAAAACAAAAGACCTGTATAAAGAAAACTATATAAACATAAAACATATATATATATAGTACAACAACAAAAAGCTAAACATTATATAAATACATTACAAAATAAGGAATAAATATTTTTAGCACCCAAGGTTATTTTCCGTAGCATGCACACCTGATTAAAGAATTTGTTTTTCAGACGGATTTAACATATTTTTTAACATCTAGAAAAACATTGACA